TTATGCGGTAGTGGTGTAATGGTAAAACACTCGCTTCATAAGCTAGAGGTTCCAAGTTCGATTCCCACCATGTCTTGAACGGGTTTTGAAAATGTTATTACACGAAAATTACACTTAGTGAAAAAAACGGTTTTGCCCCCATTGTGAGGCACAACCGCACCCTCACAAAAATCGATGGGGCTACACCTTTTATGGTACATTTTTTTTACAATTTTCACAGCTCTTATTTTTTGATAATTTTGTTGCATGTTTGCATACTGTGCAGACATTCTTTGTACTTACATTTTGAGTTCTGCCCCAGAAGAGAGTTTTTAGAAAGAATTCAATTTCATAGCTTAATTATTAGATTATGATATTATCAAAAATGGCTTTCACTTCATGAAATAATGTTGATAACACATATCTTTAACACTAAAATCAAATATTGCTTAATTCTCAAAAAGAAGGTCAGGAAAAATATGATGTAAATATAATATTTTTATCAAAATAAACATTATTACTCACAACTTTTCAGAAACTTAACAGTCACTCTTTTTGACATATGCAAAATGAAGGAAACTGTTTTACTAACGCGTGGAATGTTTTTTGCCATATAAGATAACATTTTTTGAAGAGAAATGTTAAAAAACGCTTGTGCCTCCATATGCGGTTATGCCCCCACTTCTCCTATATATATATATATATATATATATATATATATATATATATATATATATATATATATATATATATATATATATATATATATATATATATATATATATATATATATATATATATATATATATATATATATATATATATTATATATATATATATATATATATATATATATATATATATATAACTTATATATTTAATATACATAATAATTTATGCATGTGATAATTTGCAAAGCATTTCGCATAGTATTGTAACTTTTAAAAAATCTATTTTTTTTCATTTTCTATAAGATTTTCTTTTTGTTAGATAAGTTATCTTACAATTTTTTTTTTATTTTCAGCGCATTTTGAAACACCTAGAGTTGTCAAAACAAATTGCATGGTCAAGTTGTAAAAACAAAATATCTTATAGGTGGTCAGGAATGGCGTTTGATCGATCTTCTTTAATTTTTATCACCATGTCCTTTAAACTTGAGTATTTATCAAAAAAATTGTTCTGAAGGAAAAAGTTCGTTATTTTGAGCCTTGCACTGGGATGACAAGATGCTAACAGAATAAACAGAGAAAGGAACAAATATTAAAGCTGATGATTAACCCTTCCTGGTTTACAATCCTGATATTAAACTTGATTAACTGCTTGCTATCCCAAAGATTGTATCCAGCATAAAAACCCTTATGTAGAATTGTGGAAGTATTATTGATTTGATAGCTTATTAATTTAACATTTGATAGCTTATTAATTTAAGATTTGATAGTTCTAAATGCAATTGCTGCTATTATTTTTGATTATCAAATGAAGTTCTGTTTAAATCCCTGAGTGATAGTATCTTTCTTTTCTCATAGCTGCTTTTCGAAATATTCAACTCAAAATTGCTTTAAGGAGAGTTCTGAAATGCAGAACCTATTCAACAACTAGGTTTAATCACAAGAAATTCTTCAGAAGAATCAATGCTATAACCAACCAACTGAACAGATTCTATATCATTCATTTTTCCTTTTATTTCTTTATTGGTCACCATCTATTTGTCATTTGTTCTTACTTTTTTCCAGCAGTTTCAAGGCTCTATTTTATATTTCATGAAACTGCTACATAATCCATATAAAAAAAACCCTAAAACTTAAACCTTTTTGCTCTATATAATAATATAAAAATTTTGGTTTAAAATTATTTTCAAACCAAAACTCATGTATTCTGATAATTATAAAACAGTTTTAGCTGCTTTTTCTTTATCATTTTGGTGCAAATTACAACTTGATTCAAACAATACTTCTTATGATTAATATGATGCAATCAATGGCGTCAATCTTCATTTCTTTATTTTACTACTTAAAGTATTAAAATTCACTTGGGGCCTGGATACTACTGTTGGATAAGAGCAGAGTTTTCTTTATCAATGGAAGCATTGAGTAAAATTTTCTTATTATCAATTACAAATTGAAATTTATATTTCGTATTTGTTCATTTTGTAGCTATTGTTATTCTCTTTGAAATGAGTTTTAAAGTTTTTGCATGTATTCCATCTTTTTCAGAATGCTTTACGAAATTAAACAGGTTATTAATTGCAGTTAAGTTTACGCCATTTACAACTGCTATCAAAAATATTTACGCCATTTACAACTGCTATCAAAAATTAGGATAAGCTCAAGTTTTCTTGTATTATATATGAATAAATATCAATATTTCTCATGTTTTCACTATATAAAAATATAAACTTCATTAACAAAATCTTATAAATAGGTATTTTAAGATTTATTAATATTAAAACAAGTTTGTAAGACTAATCTAGTCTCACTGAGACCCAATTATTACATAACCATTTAGAATAAAATACATATACTGTTTTCACCACATAAAATCGGATACATTATTTAACTTAAAAAATAGAGACCAGGTGGACTTTATCAGTAGTTTATATTCTGTGGATGTCCATCCACGGATTATAAACTAAATTCATATTAATAATATACATACTGAACAATATTTTTCAAGTCTCAAATTACTGGACCGCTTTGGACCGCAAAATTATTCGACTATATAAGTAAAATTTTAACTAAAGAAGTACTTCAAATATCCTGTCATTTGAAATCATTTTATTCGACATAACCTACATGCAAATTAGTGTTGCAATAGCTCATTTGAAAGCTAATACTTGATTATATTAAATTATGTAATGAAAATTGATTTTTTGAAATTAACATTTATTTCATGATTATTCGTAAAAAAAAAATATAAAAAACAAAACAAAAATAAACATTTTATAAAAGCTGAATATTTAAATTATAAAATCAGGCTTTCTCATAAGAGGCGTGTGATTGGAGGCTTTATATGACCTAGCATATAGTTCTTTGTTTTAACAACTTAACCACAGCTCATTGCAAATTTTGATAATTAACGCATTTAAAAATTGCGCTAAAAAAAAACAAAGCAAATTAAAATAAACAATCCATAAACTGAAAAGAGAATAAAATCCTTAAAATAATATATATAACAAAATTTAACCTAAAAAAGTAAAATATTTAAAGAATGATAAAATAAATAAAGGAAAAACCAGAAAAAAAATCAAAACACGTATTAATTAATTTAAACTTAATTGGAAGCTAAAGTGAAAAAATCACAGCTCTAATAATCTTTATCATTCCTTCCCATGAATAAATAGGCTAATACAAGGGCAGATCCATAGTGAGGGAAAGGGTAATGAAATTTAATAAAATTTTGAGGTGCAAATTTAAAATTTCATTAAAAAGTTAATAGGATAGAGGGTGCAACAAATCGACAAATGTGCGCACATTTTTTCAAGACAGACAGAAAAACAAACATGACGTTTCTTTAATTTTGCTCATGCAAACATTGCTGTTTGATAAAGATTTTTCAAAACAAACACGTTACTTCAGCAATTTTTTCAAAATAATTTTGCGATCAATAGTTTTTTATTTATTACAAAAAATACATTTAAAATGAATAACAATTAATTTCAGAGACTTTTTTTTAAAAATGCCTAAACCTTTTTCAATTGCGTCACTTTTAAGTAAAATAAAAATAAAAAAGTAATTATGTTTTAGCATGGTTTTTGCATGCGCTCACAAAAATATGATAATTTTACTTAAAATAGATGCTTTTGCAAAAACTTCAAAAGAAACCATTCTTAAACAACTTGATTGCTTTCTTTTATTGAAGAAAGCGATCGTAATGTTTAAGCTTGGTTTCTTTTCTGCTTATAGCAATTACATTAAAAGTTTAAAGCAAATGATTTCATTATAAATAAAATTGTGCATGCTTTTTTTTTCAATTTTCTTATTTTCCATAAACTGAAATAATGTTTGTTTGCATATTAAAAACACTTTTAAAAGATTTTTTTATTGTGCGTTTATCATTAATTTGCGCGCGCTTTGCAAATGTGTAAAAAAAAAGTTTTTGAAAAATAACAATTAAATAAACTTACCAAGCATCTTTGATATATTTGATAACTTATTAACTAGAATAAAAATTATTTGAAATTTGCTGGACATAAATCTCTTAAATTAGATGTTTGTCAATAAATAACGATACGCAAGTCAACATTCATTTAAAAAAAGAAACGATATGTCACGCACTGGGATAAAAAATAGTTGGCAAATGCGACTATTTCTAGACTATTGTAATCCTTTTTTTTTAGTAAATAATTTCTTTATTAGAAGTTATATTTCCATGATAAAAAGATTTGTGATTATTTTTTAATAGCTTCTGTATTCATTTTGCCTTAAACTCTAATCTGAATATTTTTTTCAACGATTGCTTTTATTAAGTTGCATTAAAGTACTCAGGCAATTTTGTGGCAGTTTAATTGTAATTATAGAATCAATTAAATTAAAAATTGCATTTACATTTGCTTTGTTTTCTTTAGGCGCATTTTTTAAACCCCCTAATTATTGAAACTTGCAAAGAGCCGTGGTCAAGTTGTTAAAACAAAGAACTATATGCGTGGTCATATAAAGTATCCGATTGCACGCCTCTTACGAGAAGGCCTGTAAAATGTTATATAAAAATGTAATTTTTGAACATTTTTTTTTTTACTTTCGTCCCACTGTGCAATATGTGCTAAAAGTAAAACGGTCATATTAAAGGATCTTCTTGGAAATAGAGGCTAAAATTTTTAAGGATTATTTTTTTTACTAAGTACTCTCAACTGTATAAAAATCAGCAAAATCTGAGATGTATACTGACATGTACTAGGTTAATTGACATGGAATTACCCTTAACCCATGGGTTTTGGAGAGATTAACACAAATTTTACAAAAACTAAATAACAATACCAATAGTGTTGAAAATTTTGAAAATGAACCTAAAAAATTCACAAATACCTTTGCCCATGTATTGATTGAATCCAAAAGACTATTAAAACTATTGACCTAAAAAATATATTTTGAGGTATTAAAAATTGCAATATAACAAAACTTTACGTAATTTTAGAACAAAACTTTACGTAATTTTAGAACAAAACTTTACGTAATTTTAGAACAAAACTTTACGTAATTTTAGAACAAAACTTTACGTAATTTTAGAACAAAACTTTACGTAATTTTAGAACAAAACTTTCTGTAATTTGTTTATACAAACTTATTTTGATTTAATCTTATGTAAAATTTGACTTCAAGTTTAAATAATTTTATTCTTATAGAATTTTAAATCTAATATTTATATAAAACATATAATATTTTTAAATAATATATATGAATTAATTGATTTTTTCTTTTGTGTTGTATGTTTTTATTTTAATTTTGTTATTGTCATTCCTGTGATTCTAAATAACTTTTCAATTTTTTTTACTATAGAAATAAATAAAATTAAACTGTGTTTCAAAATTGATCAAATTTTAAATAATTTTATACTGGTCTTTACAAACTACAAACAAGTTATGAAAAAAATGTTTTACTTTTACTTTGTTTTACCTTTTATTTAATTTTTTAACTTTTCAGTTAGTTATATTTTTGAAAAATTTTGTTAATAGGCTTTAAATAATGAAAGATTTGAATTTTAACTTTTTATTAAATTTTTCTTTTGTTTTCTTTGGTTTTATCCGTGTCATCACTAACTGGTAGGATTATGTATCTTTTATATTATAATAGAATGTATATATATTTTAACCAAATTTCAAAATGTTTATTTTATGTTATAGTTTTGATTCTTTACTTCTAAGTTTGCCATTATTTTGTTTAGTTTATCTTTTACAGCTATAAACATCACTTTTACAGGAACTTAAAGTAGACATTTATAACCATTTCTGTAAAAAGTAGACATTTATAAAGCATTTCTGTAAAAACTTGGCAATCTCTTTGAAAATAGCAATAGCTTTGAAATAATAAACAAACAAAAAATAATGAACAAAATTAGTACTTAGTAAAGTACTAAATTTATAAATCTGTATAATTATATAAACATGACACTAAATCTGTTTATGCAAGATAGGTATTAAGGTAAAAACATCCAAAAATATTTTTGAATTGAAAAAAAAAATCTTTAAAGAAAAATTTTTTATTTGACTAATTTATGTAGATCTGACTAATTTATGTAGATTTAACTAATTTATGTAGATTTGCCTTAAAATTTGTATGTCAGGGCTATCAGGGTGAAAGGATTTTAAATAACAAAATTATATTTAAAAAGATTTTATATTTAAAAACTTTAAATATAGTGATGAGTTTAAGTCCAATTTAACTTAAAAATTGTTTTATTACTTGACTTTGCCTAATGTCTGAAAATAATTTATCCAAAACTTTAAAACTTCACAGTCCATTAAAGAATAATACTTTTGAAAAGATTCAGTTTTGTAACATTTTATACGAATCAACTTAATTCATAACTTTTGTAATGTTACACATCCAAAGTTAATGTATGTTTCAGAATGTCCTGTGTAAAAATTATGATCTTTAAAGTAAAAAATATGTTTTTCAGAGTTGCAATATTTTTAGCGAAGTCAGAGTTGCTAAACAAAATCGCAACTCTGACTCCATGACTCCATAAAACTTTTTGGTATTGCACACGCGTGTACAAAATATTTAACCTTCAAAAAATTTCTCATATATTTGGCAATAAAAAATTTTAATTATTGTGTAATATTTTTTAATGATTCAAAGAACTTTTAAAAAAATTTGCTTTGGAGTCAGAGTTGGAATCAGATTTATACTCAAAATTTCAACAATTAGAGTCACAGTAAGAGTTTGTACATTTTTTTTTTACGACTCTAAATTCCTAAAAAAAAACATATTTACGAACAATAAGTAACTGATTTATTTTCTTTCAATATTTGAACTTTATTTTCCAATTTTTCCTGCTATTCAGACTTTATTATTTTCACTCTGTAAACTCTAAACTGCTAAATCTTTTATTAAGAAACTCACAATTTGGTATGAACCACTGGCCGCTTATATTCTTATTGATAAAACAATAATAACTACAATGTAAAAAAGTACCGGGTTTTGAGCCATGTTTGTTGAATCATTTAAATTGCCAGGGTTGCAAAAATTTTCTTGTCCAACAACAAGATGATGATTATTATTCTAGAGAAAAAACAAAAGTAAAACAAAAAAAAAGTAAGAACAAACTTAAAGAAAATAACAAAAGAACAAACTTAAAAGTGAAAATTGATTCAAAAATGAAAAAATGTTTAAAAAAAACAACAAACAGGTGTAAAATTAGAATAAATGCCTTTATAACTTTTATTATTTAACATTTTTTTATATTTATAAAATAGTTAAACACATCTAAAAAAAATTGAATTTAAAACTTGCTTGTGAGACACTAACTGCACAATCTGGAGATGTTAATTGTGAATAAATTTCATTTGTCAATTGAACATGATCTCCTAGTGAAAAAAAAACTCAAAAAACTACATAAAATAGCATAGCATAATTTGTAAAATAGCATAATTTATGCTATTTAATTACTTTATGTTTAAAGAGCAAAATTCTTTTCTACACAATTAACTTATTTACTACTCGGTGTAGTTAAGGCCATTTTAAAATATTATAGAGTCTGTATGATATTTTGCTGACCACAACATGTTTTTATCAAATGATATGGTCTCTGAATTATGACAAATCGTAAAAATGAATTTTTATATTTTGCCCTAGTTGTTAAAAGCTTTATATTAGTTAGTATTATAGCTTAATTTTTATTATAAGTTGGCATTATATAGTTTATATAAGAGAAAAGTATATTTTTTCTACCCTATGTAGCAGTTCTTTATTTATGTATATTTTTATATGTATCTTCAGTTTTAATAAAATACGTATAACATTATGACACATATTATTTGTCAAATAAAATTTATTTCAGGCCAGTTGATCATTATATGGATATTATTAATTATTAATGGAATAAAATTAGTTATGTGCTAATTATTATCCCACAAGTAACTTCTTTTACATTGCCAAAATATTTGTAAACGTAATAACTTAATCTATTATATTTTCATGTTGCTTTTTAGAGCTAAAACTGTTGAAATAGATGTTTTTAGTAATTCTACATGACTGAAATCTATTTTTGTAATAATTATTTAACGAAAATAGAAATAAACATTGATTCACCATAATCAAGGTTTAAATAGTAATTCTATGTTATAACATAGTTGTATATATGCAAACAAATTGCATTAAATACTTAAACATATAGTACTTGCACACAAATGGATATACTTTGTTTTTGTATACACTTATTTTATATTGATAAAATTTTTGTAATAACTCTAGTTATTAATATCTTTTTTATTTTATTTTAGAGAAAAAAACTGTTGAAAAATGGGTGTAATTTAGTAAATTTACATGACTGGAATTTACTTTTTTAATCATTATTTAACGAACATAGAAATTAACATTGATTCGATACAAATAAGGTAAGAAGGAAATATACTATATCTTCATACATGATGACAAATTGCATTGCAACACATACTGTATGTAGGTAACACATCATAAATATATATGATACATTCATTCAAATTAATGTGTTTTTTCATATATAATAAAAGAGAACAAAATTTTGTGATCATATTTTTTCATGTTTAGCTTATCTGCAGCAGCATATATGCTGTTGCAGATAAGCTAAACATTTTTAGATTATCAGCAGAAAGACTTAGCTTCAGAAGTTTAGCAGTTTCAGTTATTGATTTTTTTTATATTATTTATAACATTTTGTTACAATATTAAATTTTCAAAGAAACTTTTTTAAAAAAATACATATAATAAATAGTCGTTGCTATTCAATGACCAATAAAAATCATGTTCAAAGCTGTATGTTAAAAAGAAAGGTTTTAGAAAAGGTTTTTTTAAATAATTTTATTATTTGAAAATCAATAATATTATATTTAAATATTTTAGTTATTTTCAGATGTTTGGCAAAAACATAAAATAGATAAAAAGTTATTTTTAAATTTAAAATTTTTTGCTCCTCAATTACTCACCTTTTTTTATCATTGCATTGCTATGCAGTGCTAGAAGTTAAAAAGGATGTCATCCCACCACCTTTTTTTTTAAATATAAATTATCCTACAACTTTTCTTACTTTTCATAATATAACAACACATAATTGAATTTTTTAAGTTATGCTTTGTATGAAATAAGGTTCCTGATGAAATTTTTGTTATTAGTAGATCTTAGAAGATAATTTTTATATATGCAAAACCATATCAAGAATAATATTTTCTATTTAAGGTTGAAAAGTGCATCATTTTGTTGTTTAATACAACTTGGAAGATCAGACTAAACAATTTTAAATAATTTTTTTTTTTTTATAAAAAAAGAAAAACAAAATACACCCTAAACCGTGTGTTACATAAAGAAAAGTTTCAATGTATCTAAATCTAATCTAAAATAAAAGACTAATGTTTAATTACTTTTTTAAAAATAAGATAAATTTTTCTCCATTATAGGTTAAGCTTACTGAAAAACATATCATTTTTTTATTATGTCAAAGATCAACAAGAATAAGAAAGAATCTAAATCAGACTAAAAGAAAACCCATGCCTCATCCTTAAACCAATAATACAAAGACTTTTTTTTAACAGAATTTTTTGTTGTTGTGTATACAACTACGCAAAAAGAAAAGGCTACTCATTTGCCGAAATTTCTTGTTCAAAATGTTTAATTGTATCCAAGAATTTTATAACAGAACCATCTGCACTGTCAACTTTGATTTGAAAAGCTGGTACTAACAGGTTTGCATTAAGTAAACATACCTCCCAGCATTTTCTAACACAATCAATTTCTTTCTTTATGGTTGTTGACCGAAAATGGCGACATTGCTTTTTACTTGTTATCACTTTTTGTTTATCAAAAAACGTGATGCCTTTTGGTATTTCTTGCCAAAATACGTTTTCTTCAACAAGGTAATCAGCTATTTTCTTCAACAGTGACTCATAATCATCTGGATGAAACTTGATTATTGAAAATGGTATGATAGTATTGCCACTGTTTTGAATAAAAATATTTTTGTAAAGTTTGGAAATTGATGATTCCATTTGACTTTTTGGGTTTTTGTTTTTTAGTTCCTCAGATACTTGAATTCTTATTATAGCATTCGAAATAATGTTGTCAGAAGCCTTTTTGATGTAGAATTAGACATGTTTTTAATAAAATTAAATTGTCTTTCTTCTTTCTCAGTATTGGCCGCACATCCTGAAATAACTCTCAGCTGGTCTGGAGGATGCATAAATAGGCAGTGAAAATATTTTCCATAGAAATTCCTTTTAGTCAAAATATTAAGATTAGAACCAATGTTTTCTTTCAATAAGATTATATGTTCAAATGTCTTTAAATAAAAATTAAGAATCAGTTTGTTTGTTTGTTTAGACAGGTTTATAAATGTACTCCTGGATTTCACACATAATTAAAAATATTTGAGTCAAAGGATTATTTGGGTGGTGATGTTGGCAATATACTGTTGTCTTTATAATTGCCGCTCGATAATCTGCTGCTCGCCTAGACTCTTTTCCTTCAAATACTGCTTTAATTACTTTTTCAAGTTGTTTACACTCTGACTTTAAAAAATGAGAAGGTAGTTCAATAAATAAGTTTTTAATATGGTTTAATATGTCGTGGAGAGGTTCGATTAGCAGTTCATAATTTTGTAAACCATGATCTTTAAATAGTGATTCAGGTTCAAAGAAAATTAGGCTTGGTACTTTTTGTATACCGTGCATTTCATGAACAAGTTTTTTATCTAAAACAGATTTTTTCATATCCATTTTAAAAATTTATATTTCTTTGATGTAGCTCATTAATAACTTCATTCTTTCCTAAGTTTGCATATAGTTTGGTTATATATTTTTGGCTATTATCTCTAGACTGCTGTGAATATAGGACTTTCTGCTGTCTCTGATATAGATTTTTATATTGACAATTGCTTGCAAATGAAAAATTATTGTTGTGTTCTACATTTATGTCACACGCCCAACACAAATAGTTTCCTCCTTTTTGCTGTCCGGCCTCAAACTGAGTAGCTGGTCCATCCCCCTTAAAAACATGCATTTCATCTGTGATTTCTATATTATTTATAAGTGTAGGAGTTTTTAGAGAAATGATGTCATTCATTCTGGTTGTTGAATACATCAGTAAATTATCTGTTGAAGGTGATCTAGCTAACAGATACCATATAGGAGATTCAACAATTGCCTGGATATTAATTTTTTGTCAACTAATTAAATTATATTTTTCGTCTGTGAAGTATAAAGTGGTATCATATAAAGCTGAAACTGTCATAAGAATGTACCCATGATTACAGACAGTTGAAGCATCATGCCAGAATATTAAATGACGTTTTCGTTCAAATATTATAAGTCTTGATCTGAGTTCTTCTGTAGTTAACTGTTGAGTTTCATCGTACTCGTAAATTCTTTTTAGAAAATCTATAATATTGGTTTCTGACATATCAATATATATATATATATATATTTTTTTTTAAATTGATTAAGGTGCCCCAAGAAGTCCTTACAGTCTTACCACAGAGCACCACGGAAGAGCATTTAATGGGAAGTTCACGCCTCTTTGTCTTTGTCACTTTTGATTCTCATCATCAACTCTTTGTGCTTTTCATTTATATATTTTCTTATGGTATCAAATGATTGTTTTCATCCTTCTACTGTAAATACTTTTTTTTCTAAATTTTTTTCTTTTATTACTGACTTTTCAAATGACTGTGGTACAACTCACTCTCCTAATGAATATTTCTTTTCATGATTTTGTCTCTTAATTCTTCCTGTAACCATGAAGTTGCTTTCTTCTTGTGGAAAAGATGCACTTTTATCTATATCCAATCTATAAAAAATAAGAAGGATTTGTCTATTGTTCATGATTATTGCCATACTACTTGGAATATCATGCTAATTAACTAATATTCCTATGTAATATGGACTTTTTGTATTTGTGTATAAATTATGGCTTGTAAAGTTTTAAATTCACCTTCTTTTTTTACGAAGAACTCTTGTATTAGATTCCCCTGTTTTTTGAAAAAATTCTGTTAAGCTTATTTCACTTTGATTCTGAAGAAGTTCTTTTACGATTTGACCTGCATTGCCAGGTGATTTTCCATTAATAGCTTTTAAATTATACTTTCTGGCCAAAGCTCTGAAGTTTATTTTTTTACCTTCTTTGTAATTTAAAAATCTATTGAGACACTCCTCTTTTTTCCATGTATATCGTTCAGTAGAGCCAACATGTATATCGTTCAGTAGAGCCAACAACTTTTTTTTCGCTTAACAACCTAAATTAATAAATTTTCAATATATATATATATATATATATATATATATATATATATATATATATATATATATATATATATATATATATATATATATATATTATGTATGTACATGTATACAAGGAGGCTACTCATTTTTTTGTATTTTTTATTTATTTATATGTTTAATTATTTAAATGTACAAAGGAAAAGCACATTTAATTATTTGTGGAAAATAATAAATTAATAAAATAAAACTTTAAATTTTAAACATTTTAACCAAAATAATTTATCTGTATATATATATATATATATATATATATATATATATATATATATATATATATATATATATATATATATATATATATATATATATATATATATATATCTAAATAGTAAAATAGTATAACTATTTGACTTCATTTAATTTATTAAATTTAAATTTGGAATTTTAGGAATTTTGGTATTACTTTTATAGAACTTTAATATTTCAAAGTATTATTTATATATGAACTATACCTTTTTAATTTGGTTCTCAGTTTCTATCTTTCTGTGTTCAGCTTTATCATAGGACTCCATACTTGATGAAAGTCTTTTTCTTGTTCGGAGTGAAAGATTTGTACCATAAACTCTAAGGTGTTAAATAAGTGAATTATAAATATTTCATAAAAAAATTAGAAATGAAATATACTCATAAATAATCAAAATTTTAAAATGTATGAAACATGGTTTATTGTTTAATTAATTGTATGTTTCATTTAAGATAATAAAATATGAAGAGTGATATTAAACACTTTAATATATAAATCTTTTTTTGGTTTATTTACCTTTCAACACTAGTAGCTTTCCATTGATTTTCAATTTCAGATATTGTACTTTTTATTATTAGCTTCTGTGTTTGTTTAATTTCTGATGGATTTACATATCCAATATCAAGGAGGTCAACATGTGTTTGCGAAAATGATGTTTTATTAAATTGTACATCCAACTTTTTAACTATTTTTTTTGTTACATCTAATAATGCCTCTTCTTTTTTTTTGCAGGAGACCCACTGATTTTGCAATTTGTTTGTACTCACTGCTGTTATTTAGAAACTGAGAAAGATTTAACTTTAATTCAATATCCTCTAAACATGCCGGACAATTGTTAAAACATTGCTTCGATTTACTGTTACTGGAAAGCTTGTCCCACCTTTCTTCAGAGAATACACCAAGAACTTGTGCTTTGATAGACTTACTTTTTTTTTCAATATACCGAACATTTTTTATTATTTTTTTTGACTTACTTAAAAAGAATTTATACTGAATAATAAAATCAGTATTTGTATTGATAAACTGCCTCATATATACTTCATATCGGTGCATATTATTTCGCATAGTAAAACTCCATCCATTCTCATTGAAGGTTGCTTCAAAATTTGGCAGGGTGGATGCATTAAAGGCTGCTGTTTTTGCATAACTACATGTAGTTGGATGAATAAATGAGGGCATAGTACCTTTTAATGACACCTTTGAGCACTAAGTTATAAAAGAAAACTATTTGATTTTTAATGTAGAAATTTATATTTATATAAAATATATATTTAGTAAATTTAGTAATTATAATTATAAGAAATAATTATAAATATATACTTTTTAGACTTTGTTTAATTGCATTATAATTATCATTTCTTGATTTTTGGATTTGAGCAAAGCATATGATGTAACGCAAAACAAAATTGTTTCAGGCAAAAAAACCCAGACCAATGATTTTTTAATTTTTTTTTAAATCTCTTAAGAATCACGATCGCTTGTCCAGATTCAAAGAACATTTTAAATAAATAAATTTTTTAGATAAAATGAACATTATAGTTTAAGAATATGATACGTTCTGACCAATTTTTGGCAGTTTTTTTAATTATAAGCTCTTCTTGGTCGGAATTCTTAAAATATTTGTGAAATTTGATAGAAATGTTGTATTTTGACAACTGTATTTAGTTGATATACGTCAGAACTGATTAGTACTAGGATCTATAGTGGGTTAAGACACTTTTTCAAAAAATTTTAACCAAATTCGTGCTAACACCGATGAGCGAAAGTAATCTAATGACTTCAAAATGATGTTCTTTTGATTCACTATTAGGGCTAGTAAAAAGGTTTTTAAAAATATATATATAAAAGAAATATTTCTTTAAACATTATAAAAACCAAAAGCAAAAAAAATTATAACATCTAAAGCTCTTGTTTGGACATAATACGCTGACAAAATCATGCAAATTCCAAATAAAAGAATTGAAAGAATTTGTAAATCGCCTTAACTACACCGAGTAGTGAAAAAAAACGTTTCCATAGCAGAACTAATCAAGAACAATCCTATTTATACTCTTTGATTGTAATCCTATATTTCTTATTTTTGATTTATGAGAATTATTTCCTTTTAAAAAGTATTGATGTTTTGTTAAGTTTTATTAAGCCTTGTTTTTGTAGGGCTCAAAAATTTTTTTAGGGTTATAAAACTTTTTTTTTCAACTTAAAATAACCTTCAAATCAAAACCAACTTAAAATCTAAAATTAATGTTAAACTTTTTTTCTTCTCTTTAAGTCTGTCAGGTTTTTAAGAAAAAATCATTAAAAAATTTTTTACCACAATTATTTTTAATGCAATCGGAAGAAGGCGACGCCGTTGATTTTGCGTATAGAGTTGCTTCTTCTTGTGCTTTACCTATATTTTTTTTATACCTAATCCGCTTATTGCCAAACCAGTTTGAAACCTAAAACAAATAAAATAAATGGTTTAACTTTTGAGATAATTTAAAAGAATAGAATTATGACAACAAAGTTGCAACACAAAAACAAGATTTTCTTTTTTAAAACAACTTAAATTTTATTTTTATTGGATGAACAAGAGCTTGCTTGAGTAGTAATCATAACAGTACTCGTAAAAGAAGAGAAAGATATATAACAAAACATATCTTTTTTTTAAACATCTTCACTTCCAACAAGGCTGCGAGGAACCACTATTAGAATCGGTATTACTAGAAGAGAAAAGATAAAGTTTATAAAGCAACATAATGGTTGAGACATTACTTGAAAGATTTCAAATTATATGAATCAGGAAAGCAAGATGAAGGAAGTGAATTCCAAACAACTGACGCTCGAGGAAAAAAATTAGACAAATAAGAGTTTTTGGAGGACTAAAGAACAGTCACAGAAAAAGGATGAGACTTAATTAAATGACGAGTAACACAAGAATAAATTTTAGTAGATGGCACAAGAGATGCTAGCTCTTTAGAGCAGTGCGCATTATAGTATTTGTAGAAAAGAGAAAGAGAAGCAACATTACGACGATGTGATAATGGCTAAAGGTTAACTGCAATACCAGGTCCAACTATGTTTACAATGCGTTTTTGCACCTTATCTAAAAGAGAAAGGGCATCATTAGAAGATCTGCCCCAAATAGGGCAACAGTATTCAATAGAAGGATAGATTTGAGATTTATAGAGATAAAGAATAGAATCTGGAGTAATAAAGTGGCGAGCACAACAAAGAAATACAACCTTAGCAGATGGTAATTTTGCAATGGATTTGATAAATGGTTTCCAAGAACGATCAGAAGTAAGAGGTAATACTAGAAGATAAAGGGTAGATGACTTGTCGAATACATCACATAATTATAGTTTATAAATATAGGAAGATCTAAATTATCACAGTAAAGTTTGGCTGAAAAAAATTGAGTTTATCTGAACTAAAGTTCACTAGCCACTGTGAGCCCCATACTGTAGCAGAAGTGAGACCCTCTTTAAAACTCAAACGCCCCCTCCAAGCAATCAGGAAGTGTTGGCTTCTTATCAAGAGTATCAAAAAATGTTATCTTAGGTGTAAGAATATCTGGAAGATCGTTAATGTAAATTAAAAAGAGTTTAGGGCCAAGGATAGAACCTTGAGGAACTCCTGAAGTTACAGGATTGAAGAAGAGTGCTGTCCATCAAGAACAACTTTTATACTAAGATTGGAAAGGAAGGATTCAATAATCTTAAACATGTTACCTAATAGACCATAAGAAGAAAGTTTATGGAGAAGACCAGCATGCAAATTTTATCAAATACTTTAGAAATGTCAAAAGCGATAGCTTTAACCTCTCCACCTCTATCTAATGTACAATGAACCTATTGGTTATTACTGTTAGCGAATCGGTTATTACTGTTAGCAAATCGGCTATAGAACACAACCCTCGGAATTAGGAAAATTGAGGTCGACAATAATTTCCTGACCTCAATCTTTTAGAGGTCGGCATCAGGTCGGCAAAAAAAAATTTATACAAACATCTTACAATAAAACATCGAAACAAGGTCAGCAAATTTTTGCTGACCGCAAACACTTTTAGGTTGGCAGTTAGGTCGGCATTGCCGAATGCCGACCCTAATTCTGAGGGTTGAGAATGAAAAGATTGAAATCCATATTGATGATCAGAAAGTAATTTATTAAGTAATTTATTCAAGTAATTTTTTAAGTAATTTATTCAAGATGAGAGATTAAGTGTTTGTTAGTTAAAGATTCAAAAACTTTGCTCATGATAGGAAGAAGACTAATAGGACGGTAGTTAGATGAGTCAGATCGCTCTCCAGAATTTTTGAAAACAGGAATTACAGATGCCACTTTCCAGCATGCCAGAAAACAAGAATCCAGTAAGCACTTGTTAAATAGTTTTGAAAGTATAAACGACAGCTCCAGGGAACACGCCTGCAAGACTACCACAGGTGTGTTGTCCAGACCAAAAGCTATAGAAGAGTCTAAGCAGGAAATCTCTTTAGGTACAGAAGCTAGAGTCAAGCAATGTATCAACCGGTTTGTCAGCAATATCAGGTAGAACGCAACTAGTGGAATCAAGAGATGATATTGATGAAAAGTTCTTAGCAAACAATTCACTTTTGTCATTAGGTGAGGTAATGAAATCTGAACCATAGAAGAGAGGGGAATAACAGATTTGCCCTTATTATTGATACTGTTAAAGATTCTCCAGAAGTCACTAGGGCCTAATTTTTGAGATAAAATACGAGATTTTATGACCTGAGAATAGCAGTCTTTGCGTTAGACAAAACCTTTTTACAATGGTTTCTGGTAATAGTAAACAGACGTTTGTTTTCTGGAGAATTGTTTTGCTGATAGATATGGAAGTAATGGTTTCGATTGGAAATTGCAACAGCACAATGTGAGGTAAATCATGGAGAAGAGTGAGGCTTGACTTAGAATCGTCGAGAAGGGATAAAAAGACCCATGCCAGCCTGAATCCAAGAAGTTATGTAAGAAGTACATTTATCAGCAGGAAGACAAAAGATTTTTACCTAAGAGCCACCACAAAGAAAACTACAGAAAGAGTTTTTTTTTTATACAAAGTCACTTAATTTTTTAAAAAATTAACATCATACGATTGTTTAATAAGGAAACAAATGTTCTTTTATTTATCAAAGAGTATAACATAATTTTAAAAAATAGATATATTTTAAATTAGGGCAACTAGGGGCAAGTTTTGAAAACTGAAATATATTTCTGAAAACTAACAAAATTTAATCATGTAAAAATATTCTTGGAGAAATACAGAGATTTTTTTAAAAGTCAATTTAAAGTTTTGAAAAAGTAATAAAAGAAGAAATACTTCTATGCGCTAATTGCTTTTACATAATTAATAAAATAATGCATCATTTTAATTTACTTAAATATTTAAAAATATATATTTCTTAACAAAAATAATTCACTTTACAGAAATCAAAAATATTAATTATTTCAAAAGTTATGTATTATTAAGTGAACAGCTCACTTATGCTAACTCACTGTAAATAAGCTGAGGTAAAAAATATTCTCAACTTGAGTGCATATTACAAACAAACTGAGCTATTAATTTAAAAATAGACCACGCTTATTATCACTTTCAAGAGTTTACTTTAAGATACTGCATAAAAAAATGTTTTTTAATACTAAAAAAAAATGGGCTTCTGCCAAAAAGTCTCAGAAACCATAGTACATTAGAATAAAAAACAGATACACAAAATTACATTTACATAAACGATACATACGAACTATTACTTTAATACTATGGCTCATTCTTGGAGCCACATTTGCAAAGCCATAAATCTTTTAAACTGTAATTTTTTAAATAAAAAATAAGAATATGCTAATAAAATCTATGATATATTATAAACTTTCAAAATTTTGACAATTTAAAAAATATATATTTAAAACATTTATTTTTGTAAACAATTATAACAGTTTAAAAGACTTATGGCTTTGCAGATGTGGCTCCGAGAATGAGTATTAAAGTAATAGTTTGTTTGATAAAATATTCTTAAATATTCTTAAAACAAATTACACTAGAAATCTCAAAACTTAACAAAGCTCGAATAATACAATTGTTAAAACACTTCAACAGAATACTCTAGAACTTTATTTCACTTTGTCACTATAGTTTTTAAACCAATAGAATTTGTTTGTAGATTTGGTGGGTTTTTAGTGTTTGCGAATTTTCTTTTTATTCTTCTGCACCAAAATGTTTTAAGAACATTCAAGTTTATATGTTTCCATGCATGTCTGTAAAACAAAAAAATTTTGTTTTATGGACATACATAAACTTGAATGTTCTTAAACCGACTAAAAATCGGGCCAGTTTTTTGCAACTAAATATTATTTCTATGGCCAGCAATCAACAGTGATCGCTCCCACTTCCCAACCAAGCCTGTTTACTCAGTTTTATTAGATTAATTATGGTATATTTATAGCAATAAAGGATAGTTTTTAGTTTAATTGGATTTAGTTTGTTGGATCCTTGCCATTTTCCCTTGAAGAAGATTTCAAATTTGAATTGATTTTATTATTCCTTTAGTAAGCCTGATGGCTTGAATTGACGCTTATAGCTCTTAATACTAATTTTTTTGAGTGTCACATGACAATCTAACAATAATGTTGTTTGAGAAACAAATGCTTCAAAACTAGAGTTTTAGTTGGTAATGTCATTCCAATCAACTTTTAATAATTTAGATTTAAATGATTCTTTATTATAATTTTTAAAGTTCCTGCGGTATAAATTATGATTGCGTATATAAATAATATGTTGAAATTAGGACAAATAAGAAATTGAGGCAGGTGATCAGAAATAGAAGTTGTTAGATTTCCTGAATTAATTTGGTTAGTGGTTATATTTGAAAAGATACTTTCAATGATTGTAGCAGAATGGTCAGTAACCCTCATTGGTAGTGTAATAAATGGGCAAATATTATAAGAAGTTTAAAAACTCAAAAGTTACAAAGTCAGAGTTTGACTGTATCAGATCCATGTTAAAATGGCCAATTAGATAGACAGATTTATTTTCAGTAGATATTTTTTAAAGAAGGACAGACATTTTATTATTGAAATCGTTTACATCCATGCTAGGGTGTCTCTATATGCAACCAACATTACCATTTGAATTTTTTGGGAAAAATTATTTCAACAGAAGTAGATTCATAAATAGTTTGGTGAGTATATGATCAAATTATCTCTTTTTTTATAAATAAGTTTTTTTGATAAATATAACAAGGTTCCACCACAAGAAGATTCGTTTGCTGTGTGCTTAAAATTATAATTTTGAACAATAATTGGATGTGAGGAAGGAGATTCTTTTTTTAACCTTGTTTCTGTAATTCCAATAATGCCAATTTCAAAACTTATTAATGATAATAATATGTTCAGATCTTCATAGTGCTTTTTTAAGAGTATATGTTTAAATGGAAAAAGAACATAGAGTTTATAATGTCAAAATTATGAGAACAAAATTTATTGATTTTTATAATATTCTACTCCAAAATTTAATCTACTCCAAAAGATGAAGAGTTTTCCTCATCAGAAGCATGTGATGTAATAAATTTTTCAAATTGAGTATAGATTTTATTCAATTCCGATGCTGGAAAGAGTTTAGTTAATAAAGGCAAGTCATAAGTTATAATAATTTTATTTAAAGAGAAGAATAGTTTAAATTCATTCTCAGATACATGGGTCAATGGAAAGACATTTTTAGTACAATTTACACACAGCTATGTTGAACGTTTGAATGTGTTAAATTGTACCCATGATCATAAAACCTGTTACATTTTGAATGAGTCCAAAACATCACATTAAATTGCATACATCACATTAAATTGCATGGCAACTTGCACTAACTTTTATTGTACATGCAGTGCATACTCCGCAAATTAGAGGTCATAAAAAAACTAATGAGAAAGATAAAAGAAGAAAATTCAGAAATGCCAAATTCAGAAAGCTTGAAGTTGTTAAGTTTTAAAGAAAAAGAAAAGAAAATAATAATGAAAATAACAATAAAAAATATTAACAATACAATATTATAAATAAACAATTTATATCTGCCGTAAATTAAGCAGTATTAATGAGCAAACTTATATAAAATAATAGTTATAATAATAAAACATAACAATAAGTTATAAAATAATAGTTATAATAATAAACAGAACAGAACATTTATTCTTTATTTTTGGTTATATTTATCGAAAGTTGTATTTAAATTGAGTAGTAATTTATATGTACTTTTTCCTTTTCTTTTCTTCTCTTTTTTTTTTTTATTTATTTATTTTTATTTTCTATTTGTTCATCAAATTATTTATTTTACTTTATTCAGTTTAGATTAGATTAAATAAACTTTCTTTTTTTCGCATTTAAGCTTCATATCCCTAGAGCAATTTTCATTAAGCAACTTTTCAACTAAATAATGATTAAATGTGTTACGAGACTTAACAAGAATTACATAATACATAAGTTAAACTTATTTTTATAACGCAAGGAGAGTGCAGCAATTATTTTTTAATAATATACCTAAACTTATCTAAAAAAAATTGTAAAAAGAAAAAAAATCCTAACGAAAGAGAAAATAAAAAAATACTTAGTTAAAACAAAAACACAAAAAAACAAATATATATACAACCCAACTAAAACAAGACTCATTAAACTAAAATGCTTGAAAAAAAAAGTCTATTTAATTTATGCATTACAAAACCATTTCAATCTTTGTTTTAACATTTGTACTTTTTTTTAAAATATGTTTCTAAAGATAAACATTTCTCGTAAAAAATACATAATTATATTAATAAAAAAAACAACACTTTATTACTACTTATTTGAAAAATTAATTAGAAGTGTTTTGTTACTTCATTGAAAAGCATTTCGATAATTTAAAAGCTTTGATAATATAAAAGATCAAACTTATTTAATTGTAATGGCTTTCTAAAACTTTTTTTTTTAACGAAGTTTTGTTTATCTTTTTAAATGTGTTAACTTTAATTATTCTTTTATTAAAATTCGTTAAAGAGACTTTCGTAGTCGTAGAATGTCATTGTTTATGAAAACAAAACAATTTTTTAATTTTTACTAAAGTTTATTATAGAAATGCTCACTTGAACAATTTATATATTATAAATTAAAAAAATATATACAACTGTCAATTATAATTAAAAAAAAAAAAAAAAAAAAACATCAGTAAATTGATACTTTATTTAAAAGCGTTTTGCTAATATAAAAACATTTGTTAAGAAGTTTTGATGCAAATAATTTCACTTTTTCAGAATATTTTTTATTTAGCGCGTTTTTAAAATGTTTTTTGAATTAGCTAAATCGTCAAATCTTCATAGCAAAATGTAATTTGCCTGGTCATATAAAGACGTCAAATAGCACGCCTTTCTTTGAGAAAGCCTGATAAATTAACAAAACTTTTTTATTTGTTACTTGCTAATTTTTTTAAAATAAAAAATCTTTTTTGGTTGCAAATTTTTTAAAATGATTAATTAAGAAATAATCATTTTAAAAATTTAACATATTTTAACTTATTTATACAAATGTTGAGAAAAAAAATTTGTTTATATGAAAATTGTAATGTTAAATTTAATTATTTAATATAAAAAATTAATGAAAGAAAATAAATATTTCCTAACAGTAATAATAAAAAACGAGTTAAATGTCATTTAACTTGTTTTGTGGTAATTAATATTATTGCAGTAATTTAAAAAAGTTAATGTCTTCAAAAAATAAAAAGATAAAGAGAATATTATGATGTCAAACTCACATTAAGCTGATGTGTTAAGCATTTTTTATTTAAAACAAGGCCTGACAAAGCTAAAATTGTGCTATCCTTTAAGATAAACAAAAGAAGCAAGGCTGGTCAGAAAATTTCTGTCTTAAACTTAGAGGCTTTCCCTAAGACAATAACCAGAGGCAGTTCAAATCTGCCCGAGAAGAGTATTTTTATTGAGACACTAACTCTAGACTTTACCAAGAGCCTCAAGGTAGGGAAGTCCTACAAGACAGCAAGACATTCGGCAGGTTATAGAACAGACGCTATATAAAACTATATAGATCAGACGCTATATGAAATATCAGGAACTATGTAAAATATCAAAAACAATATAAAACATTAGAAACTACACAAAATATTAAGAATTATACAATTAAAATATCAAAAACTACATCATAATTCACAAACTATATGAAATATCATGATGCACATAAAACATCAGGAACTACCAAAACATCAGGAACTATACAACAACATAGTTTTGATTATGATAATAATGATAAGTTTTTTTTCAAAAACATTAAACTAAATTAGTAAAGTTTCAAAAATTTATAAAAAAGACATTACCTGAGCAACACTTATTCCACAACTACGTGCTAGATCTTCTTTTGTTTCTTCTGATGGATAAGGATTACTTAAGTGAGAATAAAAGTACTCATTTAAAACTTCTGTTGACTGCTTACTAAAGTTCCTACGTTTACGCCTAAAATACAAAATAATAATAATAATAAATATAATCAAAAGTATACTTATATAACAATATAAAATATCATACAATTATATTCACAGATACATATCAAAATATTTTTCAACTAATATTAAAGCTATTTAATGTTGTCTTTGACATAATATATTTCGAGTTTGATAAAATAAAGTAGAACAAAATATATTTATCATTTAGACAAAAGAACTATTGCTTATTTTTTATTTTGAAAAAACACTTAAAAAAAATTCTTTAGCATGGTTCTATAATGATACAAGCCACATAAAATATAGTGCAGATAACAGCACATCAAACAGGTAAACATACAAATAAATTTATCTCCAATTCGATTGACCAAAAAATGATTTAATCAGGTTAATCAAAAGATACTGCTTACAACCAATCACTGTTTTTAGCCAGTTTAATTATTTATTTCAAGCGCTGATATTATTTATTATAATAAATAAAATAATAGTAACTGTTGAATTGCAAATTAACCTTGCATCCAAAAACCGAGATCTTAGAATCATAACAGCCTCACAAGTGCTTTGTTTAAGTTGCAACTGAATAGAATTAAACTTTCGATGAATTATACTAACCATGCGATCAATTTCTTCTTTGGAAATAGGACGTGTACGCGATTGCTCACGAAGTAAGTTCATAACATGAGTAGTGAATTCAGCACAAGCCTAAATAAAATTAGAAAAGATATTATATTTAACTCTGTATCTTTTATTCACAATAACAAAAACTTAAATACTTGCATATTCTTTTTTTCATTGATGTTATATATCTATATGTGTGACTATTTAGTAAGCATTAGCCATCACTTACTAGTAAAAATATATTAATCAAAATAACCCAAAAATAAGCTAATCACTAATTGGGTAAAAAAAGAAAGAAATTTCATACTTTTGTTATACTTTGATCTATTTACAATATAATAATAATAATAATAATAATAATAATAATAATAATAACAATATTATTAATAATAATAATAATAATCGGGAGTCCTAAATGGACTCCGGCTTTATATCTCTATTTTATCTTGGTCTATGTCAAGAAGCTCTAAATGTTTTACAAAATTTAGTTTTAAAAACTTATTACAAAACTTTTTAACAATGAAATGTATGAAAAATTTGCTTTTTCAAAAGATTTTAAAATAACTATTCAGAGTAAAAATAACTTTGGTTGTTGGCAATTAAAAGCAAACTGTTTTTGAAATAAATAAACAAATGTAAAAATTTCAGTTCTAATAATAAATTACGCAAGTTTAACTTTTGAATGAATGAACTTTTGATCTTTAGCTTGCTATTTTATTTTACATTAGGCGAATGAAAAAACAAAACATAAACTTTTTATGAAAGTTTTGTTTCTTTTCCATATTCTTTTTAACTTTAATAATAATAAAAATTATGTATACAATAACTTAATAAAAGTTTTATCAAGACCTAGTTATTTTTAAACTTCAATTTAATGAACTTTTTTGAGGAAATTTTTAGGAGCCTATTTAAAACATTTTTCTAAGTTTACAATACATACATTTTTTTGAATGCAGCAATCAAATTTAGCAAAAAAAATTTTAAAAGCGAAAAGAAGTAAAAACGAATAACCGAAATAAATGTAAGAAAAAAATTAACAAAATTTCTTATAGTTAACATCATAGTAAATTAGTTTCAGCAAATTAAGATACAATAGTTGGCGTCTATGTAAGAAACCATAAAACACTAGACTACATGGCTAACAGAAAAACAAGAGGTGCAATGGGAAATTAACTTGTTCTCCTCCTAAGCTTTTGTAAATCTAAAAATGTTTAGCTAGTTTTAAAAAGTAATATTAATTTTGTAATATTCTATGATAACCAAGCAAAAATATTTTTTTTTTTACTGATGATTTCATTTTTACTTTTAATTTCTGTCCAATCTTAATTATATAAATATAATTATAATTCTTAATTATCTTTCTTAATTAATTTTTTAATTATATGGACTGATAAAAATCATGAATAAATTGCATATCAAAACTTTTGATTGTTGTTAAATCGTTATAAAAGATGTTTTTTTTTCAACAATGACACTAAATAAAGAATACAAAAGTTGTATAAAAATTTTATAATAATGATAAAAATATTTTATTCACTTTTTTTTAATTATGAAATTTTGTAGTTTATCTAATTTAACTTGATATTTCATTACAATTTTGTTTACTTTTTTTAGGATTGTCTTTTTTTTTTTTTTCTTAGTAGTTTAGCTTTTTGTTGCGAATGATTAAAATGCTTTATAAGTTAAAAGATGCGACGTTTAAAGTAGTTTTTTTTAGACAAACTGCCATGGTCATTTTGTCTAAAAAAACTACTCTAAACGTGGACAAACAAGGTATGCAACTGCACGCGCTTCCCAAGAAGACTTGATATATATACATATACATATATACATATAAATACAATTATTACAGTTACAATTTAAAATAATATTTTATTTTATAAACATATTAAAAAGCTTTACCTGTTCATACTTTTCTAGTTCAGTTTGATATATTTGACGAATTTGAGATAACTTCATCTTGTAATCACTGCTTTCAATATGGCTATCATGAGAAGAAATTGTTTCAGAACTAGTTTTATCAACTGCAACACCTTCAGCTAACAACATGTTGTCTAAACGAACCATCTGTGGATCTACTGGATCATCCATCTGATTACACATATTCATAGCTTTAAAAAAAAATTGTATTTTAATTATACATTTTGATATTCACATTGTAAATTAATACAAAGTATTTTTAAAATTTTATACTTGTGAGAAACATCAATTTGTAAATTAATGTTACTCACAAGTATCAAAATTTAATAAAGTTAAGCATATTAAACTTCTTGCAAACTATAAAAAAAAAACAACAGACGAGCACACCTGTTTTTTCTTTGATTTCACACAGAACAGTGAAAAGAGCAGACTTCATTCGATGACAATTTAGTGCATGCTTTCTAAAGCAGAGTTTTAAGCTAATAACCTTACTCAATAAACATATTTACATTGTTAAAAGTTAAACTAGGTCAGTTACGTATTTTAAAGCAGGCCTTCTCATAAGAGGCGTGCGATCGCACGCCTTATATGACCATGCATTAGGTTCTTTGTTTTAACAACTTGACCACGGCTCATTGCAAGTTTTAATAATTAGCGCGTTTAAAGAATGCGCTAAGAAAAACAAAGCAAATTAAAATTATAATCAACAATTCATAAACTGAAAACAGAATAAAATCCTTAAAATAATTTATATAACTAAAATTACCTAAAAAAGTAAAATATTTAAAGAATGATAAAATAAATAAAGAAAAACCAGAAAAAAAATCAAAACATAAATTAATTAATGTAAACTTAATTGTAAGCAAAAATGAAAAAATGACAGCTCTAATAATCTTTATCACTCCTTCTCATGAATAAATAGGGTAATACAAGGGTGGATCCATAGTGAGGGAAAGTTTCATTAAACTTAATAAATTTTTGTGGTGCAAATTTAAAATTTTATCAAAAAAGTTAATAGGATACAGGGTGTAACAAATCGACAAATGTGTGCGCATTTCTTAAAAGACAGACAGAAAAACATCACGCTTCTTTAATTTTGCTTATAAAACGTGCAAGTTTGATTAAAATTATTCAAAACGAGTGCATTACTTCAGCAATTTTTTCAAAATAATTTTGCAACCAATACTTTTTTATTTATAACAAAAAACACATATTTAAAATGAATAACAATTAATTTCAGAGACTTTTTTTTAAAAATGCCAAAACATAATTACTTTTTTCAATAGCGTCACTTAAAATAACTAAGTACGTTATAAAAGAAAGTAATTGTTTTAGCATGATTTTTGCATGCGCTCACAAAAGTATGCATAATTTTACTTAAAATAAATGCTTTTGCAAAAACTTCAAAAGAAACTGTCCTTAAACAATTCGATTACTTTCTTTCATTGAAGAAAGCGATCATAATGTTTAAGCATGTTTTCTTTTATGTTTTTAGCAATTACATTAAAAGTTTAAAGCAAATGATTTCATTATAAATAAAGTTGTGCATGCTTTTTTTTTTAATTTTCTTACTTTCCATAAACTGAAATAATGTTTGTTTGCATATTAAAAACACTTTTAAAAATAACTTATTAACTAGAATAAAAATTATTTGAAATTTGTTGGACATAAATCTCTTAAATTAGATGTTTGTCAATAAATAAAGATACGCAAGTCAACATTCATTTAAAAAAAGAAACGATATGTCACGCCCTGGGATAAAAAATAGTTGGCAAATGCGACTGCTTCAAGGTTATTGTAATTCTTTTTTTTAGTAAATAATTTCTTTATTAGAAATTATATTTCCATGATAAAATGATTTGTAATTATTTTTTGATAGCTTTTGTACTCATTTTGTCTTAAACTCTAATCTGAATATTTTTTCAATGATTGCTTCTATTAAGTTGCATTAAAGCACTCAGGAAATTTTGTGACAGTTTAATTGTAAATTTGTTTTTTTTTTTAGCGCATTTTTTAAACACACTATTTATCAAAACTTGCAAAGAGCTGTGGCCACGTTTTTAAAACAAAGAACTATATGCATGGTCATATAAGGCATGCGATTGCACGCCTCTAACAAGAAGGCCTGTTTATTAAAGTATTGCATTGTAATTAAATTCAATTTAAAACCACATTGAAAATTATTTAGTCCAGATACCTTTAAACTAAACAATATTTGTTATAAAAAAAAATTATCAATCAAATTTAAATATAGTCTTATGATTGTTTTCTCACATTTTAGATTTTTTTAATGAGGGGGCAGTTGTTTATGGGTGAACTTTAAAAAAAAAAAAAAAAAAAAAAACTATCAACAATTTCTTTTTTTAAACATTTTTAATCTAGTTAATCATTTCTAATCAAATAATATAAATTTTTTAGATTGATCATTTCTGATCAATCTAAAAAATTGATGATAATAAAATTAAAAAAAAAAATTTAAAAGCAAATTTAAAATCAAAAACATCATCTGTTCATAAATTTTTTACATAAGGTTTACTAAAAAATTCTCTAAAATAATTTTGCCTACAGGCTTGATAATGGTCTATCCGGTAATGCATTTATATACAGCATTTATATACAGCATTACAAGCACTCAACTATATAAGCACTTTTGTAACAGGAATAAAAAATTCATTAATAAACAAAATAGTTGAATGTAAAATGAACATAAAAAACTTAAATTTCATAAAAAGAATTTTCTTTTTTTTAACATAGTTTAGAATTTTTAAAAGTAAAAAAAAAAAAATTGTAAAAAAGAGCAAAATCATTTAAAAATTTCAAAAACAAAAAATTTTTTTTATAAAAATTACAAGTTAAGGTTTTTTTTTGAATAAAAACTGTTTTTTAAACGAAAAATGGAAAAAAGGTAATATTTACAACATTTTTAGTAATAAGTTTTTTTAAGTTGTTTTTTATAAAAAATGAATCTAATTTTTAAAATTTTTATAAAATTTTGCTTCTTTTGAGTACCAAGTTGATATATTTTTAAATAATTTTCTTTTAATAATATTAGGGACCTGTCAAATGTTTGGGGGCTTTGAGGGACCTTTAGGGCAAATAATAAAACTTAGTGAAAAATATTTATGAACCACAATATGATAGTTGAATGGGAAAAACTTCAATTAGCTATGTTCTGAAAACAAATTAGCATACTGAACAGCCCTAATATATATATATATATATATATATATATATATATATATATATATATATATATATATATATATATATATATATATATATATATATATATATATATATATATATATATATATATATATATATATATATATATATATATATATATATATATATATCTTCTTATACTGCTGAGTTAGGTGAGCATGATGATGTCATACTCACCTAACGTCAAATAGCCTGCTGCCGAGGGCTTCAGTACATGCATCGACTGACAAATAGCCTGACTCGCAGTGGAGTGCTGCTACATCGACTGAGGGTTTGGTATGGGTCAGCAACCTTTTCATTCATTATTCTTTGTTTTCCCTCATCGTTTTCTAAAAATGCTCACTTAATTTAGGCTAGCAAAAAAAGTGAGCAATTGCGCATTTAATATTATTGTATATTAGGGTGTGTCAATTTGATGACTAAAATAAAAATTTTCAAAAAAAGAAATTTTATTGTGAAATTATGGTAGAATTTCATAAATGAAATGGAGTAATACTTTTAAAAATTAATTAAATTAAGCGGTAGCTACATTTTTTTGGGTTTTTATGTATTTAACTTGCTAATATTTTGAAAATCTTTAAAACAATGATGTATTTCGTTCAAAACGTATTTTGTTTCTAAAAATTTAACTTTAAGTGGAGGAAATTTATTTCGGACCTATTAGGAGATATTTTCAAAACTTAAACGCTTAGCTTAATAAAAATAAATTAAAAATAAAACTATTTGGATTATTGAAAAATTATATTTTAATAAAAATAATGGCACTAAAAATCACAAGAAATTTATCAGCTACTCACTTAAGTAGATGTGTTGGAAAAGGAAAACCCCTTTTACCATCTGAGCTCCCTACTGCAAGGGACATTTTAAGATATGGATTATTTTTAAGAGAGACCAGTGACCTTAATAAAAGAAACTATACTGTCGATAAACTAGTTAATGATATGACTCTTGCTTTATCTGCTCAGTGGAAAAAAGCTTATTGCAAGTTTTTACCTTCATGTGATAATAAAAGAATGTAGTATTAAAGCTAAACTGAAGTATCTGTGGGAAACAGTTTAAAAATTTAAAAAAGAAAAATTCAACCAAATGATTCCAGAAGATTATAATTGCCTTGCACAGATTAATCAAGTAATAATAAAATATGTTTGTTAGTAAATAATTCTAATATAAATATTTTTAAAGAAATTAAATGTTGATGAGGTGATTTATAAAAACATCTCAAAATTTTTTTTTTACTTTTTAGATTTTTCATAAACCATTAACTTAATGATAATAACACAAAGTTTAAGTATTGTATTAATTTTTTTAGGTTGAAAAAACAAACAAAGTTGACTCAGAACCAAATATTTCTGGAGAACCAGAACCTTCCAATAACATTGTAAAGGTTTATAACATAATGGACATAACAAACATTGCACTTGCTAGTATGAGGCATCACACTAGCTTACGAGAAACCGCAGAAATAGCAACAATAGCACTTATAGATGCAAAAATTATAACAAAGAATGATACATCGATGATTATAGATCACAGCAAGGTTAAAAGAAGTTAGCAATCGAATTAGATAGTAAATTTAATAAAGATCTTGAAAATAATGTGGTTTCCTGTATTTTTTTCGATGACAGGAAAGATAATACAAAAGTATTAACGGAATTTGATGGTAGGTATTTCCCTGGTCTTCTTAAGAAAAAACATTATTCTGTCGTTATTGAACCAAGTGGTAAATATCTATTTCATCTTGTTCCTAACAAAACTGATCACAGAAAACATGCTGAGGTAATTGCAGACCACTTGGTTAACTGGCTGGTGAAAAGAAATTTAGGAAAACAACTTAAAGCTATAGGAGGAGACAGTACAAATATAAATACTGTTTGGGAAGGCGGTGTGATGCGATGGTTGGAAAAAAAATTGAGAAAGAGATAAGTGTGGATTGTGAGTGATCTTCACACAAATGAGTTAGGGTTAATACATTTAATTATAAGCTTAGACGGCCCAACAAAATGTGGAAGTAAGTGGTCAGGACTACTGATAAAAATGTTAAATACAGCAACAAGTCTTGAAATTAATCCCGTATTTACAAAAATTGATGTTGGGTCTGCATTAATTGTTCTAAGTCCTGAAGTAATAAAAGGTTTAAGTTCTGATCAGAGCTATGCTTACAGAATAACAAAAGCAATAAGGTCTGGTGATTTACCTCAGCAGTTAGCAATGCTAGAGATAGGACCTGTTTGCCATAGCAGGTGGCTCACAACAGCATTAAGATTTTGCAGGATATGGGTTTCTCAGCATGGCCTATATGGCATCAACCTTTAAAATCTTACATGGATTGTCGAATTTATTGTAAATTTTTATATTCTAAACTGGTTTAACATAAAATTTGAATCATGTTGGGTTGAGGGATGAAGACACGTTTTATACCAATTAGAACTCCTTAGAAGCCAGAGGAAACCAGTTCTTGATATTGTAATGTTCACAATTAAAAGATCAGCTTGGTATACACATTCAGAAGCTGCTTTACAAGCTATGATATGCAGTGAGAGTAAAGTAGAAAGAGTTCAAGCTGTAGAAATTATTCTTAAGCGTCATGAAAAAAATCAAGAGCAAACTAATACTTGTGTTTATAGCCATAGACATCGAAGAACACCGGATATTAACATAGATGCTAAAGATCTTTTTAGTTTGATAGACTGGAGCAATAATATAACAGAACCACGTTTGACATGCAATTTTACATCTTCCGATATTAAAGATTTAGTTAATAACCCAATGGTTGTTCCACATTGGAGTTCATATACACAATCAGTTAAGAAGTGTGTATAGCTTGTCACAGAAGCTGCAGGACATGTCCACACATCAGAAAGAAGAGAGGCTTACATAAGAGCCCAATTCATTAGCAGAGAGTTGATGTTTGCTAAGAGGAGCAAGAAAGGCATGATGGAACTTCTAAGCTATACTTAAATAATATAGTGATTTTTTAATTATTATTTTTTGTTAAGCAAAAAAAGTATAACATTCTGTTGTTGTTTTAATATTCAACCTATATGTTTTATATTATTATATTTAACATTTATTATTTAATATTTAACCTATATGTTTTATATTATTATATTTAATTTAATATTCAATAGATTACTTAATATTTTAATAAAATAGTAGCGTTTTTTTTTTAAATAATATTAGTTGTCATAATAATTTTTATTTTTATAGACAAAAATATGTGCCTAAAATGAATTCATTTTATGAGAAAGCTCGTGTTATAAGAATTACAAAAATTATAGGGCTATCTAACAATGGGTGCTAAACCGCCTCAAGTATAAAAAGCCCTACAACGTACTTTGTAAAAATTACTATATAAATAATAATAAAAAATAATATGTATTTTGTACAAAATATAAGGGTTTTTATAATGATAATCTTACGTATTTAACACATATAAGCAGAATTTTTCAAATTTTTTTGTTGACTTTTGCAATAAATAGAATACTTAAAGAAATTAAAAATAAAACTGTTTGACTCTAGGCAGAAAAAAGTTATTCAAAACAGCTAAACATTTTTTCTGTGTCTGCTCACCAAGTAGTTTGTAGAATAGTCATAAAGAGTAAAATTAAAAATTAAAAAAAATGTAGCTAGCGCAAAAATTTAACAAAACTTAAAGTTATTTTTCTTATTTATATATAAAATCCTAATATTTTTTAAATATAACTTTTTTGAAATCTATTTTTTTTTAATGACACACCCTAATATATATATATATATATATATATATATATATATATATATATATATATATATATATATATATATATATATATATATATATATATATATATATATATATATATATAACAGGGTGTCCCAAAAAACAACATTTTTGAAAATAATCTGCTCCCAACCCCTAAATGTGTTTTATCTAATACAAAAACACTAGGTTTACAATTTTTTTAAATAAAAAATATTTTAAGGGGTTGCCCAAAACCCTTGAATATTTAATGGGTTCCTAATATTTTCAAAAAAAAAGTTTTTTAAAAATATGTCAACCTGGTACTCAAATGAAGCGAAATTATATAAAAATTTCATAAATAATACTTATTTCGAAAAAAAATTGTTTATTACATAAAAAACTGTGTTTTGTAACAAAAAATTTTAAAAAAATGCATTTTTTATGACAATTTTGATAAACAAGTTTTTGTTTAAGATAAAGTTGATAAATAAATTATTTCAAAATATATATTATTTTTGAAATTTTTATATAACTTTGACATATTTTTGAAAAACTTTTTTTTAAAAAATTTGAGGGACCCATTACATTTTAAAAGGTCTTGGGGGACCCTTGAAACATTTTTTATTAAAAAAAAATTTAAACCTAGTGTTTTTGTATTAGATAGAACACATTTAGGGGGGTGGAGCAGGTTTTTCTCAAAAAAGTTGTATCAATAATACACTTGGCCTGATGCTATAAGATGACCCTGATTATAAGTTAAATGTTACTATTGATCCTCTGCTACTGAGAAACAACCTTCATGATTCCTTCACTTTTGAGATTTTAGACTTGAATCATTATTCAAAACTTTCAGACTACACAAAAGTCAAGTATCCTACACCATAATTTAACTGTCATCTATATAAATATTTTCTATTAAAGAATGATAGGTATTTCATCAAAGAACAAATTAAGTTTGAAACTCAATCACACAGTGAACAGATAAATGTAAAATATTGTTACTAATATAACTTCATTAAAATCTCTCTAAAAATCTAAGTTTTACTTGCCAAAATTTATTAACTAATATTTTATACATTGGTAAAAACTATTAAAATGTTACATGACTGCACTATATCCAGTGCTGGAAAAATATCCTCTGGGACCTTAAGCTAAATCAATTTTCAGGGGCCTCAAATATATTTTGAATAAAAAATATTATACAGTATATATAGTTTTAAACTGTTTGTTGTTTGCTTTTTTATCTTTAACTCTTTAGTTTAGTGCTACTGCTTTTATACACATTTGTTCTAGAATTCCATCATGCAAAAAAATTTTTTAGAGGATTTAAAAAGATTTTCAGTGTTGCAATTGTTAATGATTGTGCACATTGAATTTTACAAAATGATGATTGTCCAGAAGGAATTGTTGTGTATTATAGTCATGAAAGTAATATTTTTTAATAACTTTCTTAAAAACTTAAGCAAACATTTTTTGAACCCATTTTGGGGCTCTAAAAATTGTGGGGCCCTAGGCTGCAGCCTAGTTCGCCTATGGGAGTTTTAAATTTGTCTAACTCACGTAATTAATTTTATAGAAATAAATGGCTTATGAGTATTTCAAATAAAAGACAACATATGTTCAACATATTTTAATAAGAAACTGTAGTATCAAGTATTTCTAGCTAAATTAGCTTTTAGAAAACCATTATCTAATTTATAAATGAATGGCATGAATAGTACATTAACACAAGAAAAATATAAAGTATTTAAATTTTTTATATTAAAACATTTAAGTAGCTTAAAACAAGACCTTTTTTTTTCTTTTAGATACATGCTATTACAATAATGGGAATTTTTTAAAATCCAAGCTTCTAAGAAAAGAAAAAAAAGTTACAAAATTAACGCACTGAAGTGGAATTCCCAAAGTCAGTTTAATTTAAGCTTAAAGATATAAGCAATTTTATTTTTTGACAGTCAATTATTCTATTATTTGGTTCTTAGTAATTTATCAACTAATTCTAACTAGTTGCTTTTTTGTAACTTATATAGGTAAAAATACTAACAGGAAACATAACCATTTTTTTTTAATTTTTAGGTCACATTAATGAAACTAAAATCTAATTTAAAAACATCCATTGTTTTTTTATCCATTAAAAACAACTAAGTTATTTGAAATAAGCAATTGAATATATCATATAAATTAACTACAATTTAAGAATATTTTTTTTTTTTTTTTGTTTTTATTTTACATTTTATCTAATATCAATCACAAATAATCAAATGTCAATATCATGTTTTTAAAATTTTTAAACATCAATTTATCACTATACTTTAAAAGCTTAAAAAAGTGCTATCTAGCTTAAGAACAGCTTAAAAAAATTTTATCAATTCTACATTTATTGTACTATAGAAATATTTATATTTTATTCAGTATTGTTTTCAAAATAAATTTAATAAATTGTACAGTTATATGACACTGGTAGACTTGCATATTTAATTAAAAATACGAGTACTTATACTCCCTAACCTGGCTTGAGCTTCATCTAAAGATTGATCAGTTATATTCATAATTTGCTGCAAAATATCTCCTATTTCCTGTTTGCGTAATTCAGGAATGTCATCTTCTTGATTCATAGTTGAAATCTGAGATTCTGGAATAATATTTGATGAACATTGACCCATTAGTCGCCCAGATGATATATTAGCCATTTTTAACAAATTTTGACTTAAATAACTTTTAGATTAACTTTTGAGTTAAATACGAATTAAAAAAGCCATGATAAATAAAAACTCAGTTAAAAAATATTAAACTAAAACACGACATGTTAATAACTTGAAAATTTTAATTGCGTTTCAGGCCTAAGGTGGCGGGGGAGTTTTACGAGCAAAACCCGTCAAAAACATATACTTATCTTTTTTGAACTAAAAAGCGGAAAATAAACATTTTAAATTAAATCTGCACAAGATAAATTTCGAAACAGAACTATCAATCTTTAGTTAACTGAACTATTACAATTATATAAAAAAGTTTTTTTTAAGCTTTTAAAACAAAAAAATATAATATTTTTTAGCAAATGTTTCTGCTATATTGTACTTTCTTCTTCTTAGTATTCCCAAGGATTATTTTACGCCATTGGTCTTCCTAATAAGTTAAGGTGAGTTTCCACTCATCCGTTTTCCTACGGGAACGGGATAGGAAAGGGAAAAATAATCACTTAAGCATGCGCAGTTTTACTTCGGACAAATTAAAACTTATAATACGCATGCCCACGTGATTATTTTTCCCTTTCCTTTCCCGTTCCCGTAAAAAAAAGGATGAGTGGAAACTCACCTTAAGACTTCTTGGGGCCCGGGGCTATTTTTGTTTTTGGAGACTTTTTTATTGGCCAGAGCCTAAAAATGACTAAAAAAAAAAAAGGTCTGCTAAAATTTTTGGGGGCCCCTAAATTTGCGGGGCCCGAAACTATAGCCCCTCTAGCCCCCCCTCCCTTGATCCGGCACTGGGTTTTTCTACTAAACGCATACCGTTGATGGCTCAGTGGTTTAGTGCGCTGTCGTCAGTATTGTTTCTGGAGAAAGGTGGGGGGTTGACCTTACCTTAGCGTTATAAATTTTGAAATATTTCAATCTTATTTATATATTTAGAACTTAAAAATTTCTTTTTGTTAAAATAAAATTTTAAAGTTTCTTATTTTATAGATAATAAATACGATTGATACGATTGTTCCATATACTGCCTGCAAACTCAACATTGCATCTAATTTATCCGTAAAAGATTATCCATTTAAACACTAAAAGAATTGAACTTTTTTTTACTGAACCCAACTCCCTAAGACCAAAGGGATCTCTTTTACTTAGAGGCTATCCTTGTCAAAAAGTCCTATAGTCTATAGAACTTTTTGACTCGGGTAGCCAAATTCTTATAGGATCCTATAGTATAGAATCCTATAAATATTTGAAACAAAAATAAAATTCAGATGTGAACCCCATTAAACTAAAACACATAAGTTAAAAAGTGTTTTTAGTTATCAAAGTGCTGCCCTTTTATTTTGTTCCAAAATCCTATTTTGGTCCTATTTTGGCTAGGGTACTAAAAACAGACGTGAAATTGACTTTATTATATTGCTAATAACAGTACACTGTTACAAAAATAGCGCGTTTTTTCGGAAAAAATTTCGACAGCTGCGATGACCAAACCTCTCGTTGTTTTACAGAAAAATCCATTGCATGTAAACGAAAGTTTTTGTAAATAAACAGATATTTTCGTTAAAATACAATGTATTTTTTCCGTTAAGCAACGGCAGGTTTGATCATCGCAGTTTCCGTTAACAAAAAGAATGTTGCAGATAATATTCTATTCATGTGAAAATTTAAAAAGTTAATTTCTAACGAATATTTTACATACAAAATAGGTTGTGTGTTATCGAAAATATTATCTAAAGACAAATTTTCTTTGATTTACATAATAAATATTAAATTTTGCTTGATTTACATTTCATTTTAACAACAAATACGCTAATAAATAATAAATTAGTAAATAAATAATTTAAAAATTATTAATATATTTGATAAAATATAAATAAGCACATAGAAATATAATTATATTACGTATTCCTATATACATTTATAATATAAATATAACTAAAAATTTATTTTTGAATAATATATATTGGTATCGCAAAATATAAATAAATCAACCCAACAACACAAAAATACAGTCTTATCTTTCTTTTCCATTTCGTGTCAACTATAAATCTAAAATAAAAGCAAAAAAACATAAGTTTTTGAGTAAGGAAAGATTTTAATATTATTAAAAAAGTAATAAATTATAAAAAACACTCATAATGTGCAATGGCTACTATGAAGAAGTTAATCAATATGACTGATTTAACTGCCAAGCATTAAACAACTATGGATATAATTAAAAACTCTGTTGAACAATAAATAAATACCTGTCACAAATAAAAACTTAAAGTACGATACAAATAGAGATTTTGAAGTGCAACGTATCCAATCTCAGTTTATTTGTTATTGTAATGGTGATAACTGAATTTCTTGTTTATGCTAATGTTGGCGCCACCCATCTAGCATACTTACATTGGGCCAACGTATGTAAAATCATCACGAACGTCGGCTCTTTTTTCCAATGCAAATCCAGCGTTGATCCAATGTCATTTGGTTAATGATAAAATTATTACCGACATTATTACCCCTAAAATGATATATTAATCCTTTATTCAAGAATTCAGATTGTACTTTTAAAAGCAACTTCAAATATTGACACTCAATCAAATTTAAAAAAAGGACTTCGGTATGTGAAAATATGTTTTATTTTCAAATTTTACATTAACTTTTTTTTTCACTTTTCCTTAGCAAATCTTCAATCAATTCGTCGAAATCAATTTTTTTCATCAAATCTACATTACTTGATAACAATGAAAAACTATTTAATGTATTTTGTATCATAGTTAATCTTAAATAATTTTTCGTAAGTCTTAATTTTGAAAAACGTTGTTCTCCAGAATAAAACGTCGTTCTTCAGAACAGTTAGTGAGCATCAAACATAAAAAGATTCTTAAAATTGTTTCGGAGTTTGAAAACACAATTTCCATTTTTTTTTCTTTAATAATTTTATATAATGATAAATGACTTATAGGTAAATCTTCGCTTTTGCAGGTTAGCTTAATATAATTATGTAAATGAATTAGTTTATTGTACAAAGCTTCATCGATGTCTTTACTGTATTGCTCCATAATTTTTTGGACGTTAGTTTTTAAATCCTCATGTGATATGTTCAAATTTGTCAAAAATCCAAGTAGTGCGAAAATATCCTGATAAGCTTCAGCCCTTTCCTTTAAATTTACACTGAGTATTTTCAAACTTTTCTCTATATATTTTTGTTTGAAATGCTTCTTTAGGAGTCAATTTGATTTGTGGTGTTTGAGATTCGTCTGGAAATCTTTTGTTTGTTTGTTGCCTTTTGATTATGCAGTCGGTGTCTGGAAGCAACTTTTTCGCTTCTGCTTCAATAACATTATAATCGCCAACTAATTGATCAAAAAAATCACCAAGAGATAAGTATAAATTTGGACAAGTGTCTAAGGTAATTTTTGAACTAACTAATTTCTCACCCGATTGATCCTCAACTTGCACAAAATTGATAAATCTTTCAATTGGTTCAAATATTGTATCATCAACATATCTCAAGATAATACAAAGCTGATCTTTGTGACTATTGTCTGGTGTAGAACCGACGGATAAACTAAAATATTTTGAATTTTTTACTTCGTTGCTAATCGACTGTAAAACTTTCTTGACCATCAGTGCAACGAGTTCGTCACGAGCAGTCTTTGACAAATAATTAGTTTTTCCAGATCCAACATTTCCATAATTTTCCACATGTTCAGATAAAAAATGGTCAAACTTCGAAATAAGCTCCAGTAATCCAATAAAATTGCCATTGGATTCTTTGCCGAAACTTTCGTTGGATCCTCTGAAAGCCAAGTTTTTTTCTATTAAAGTACAAATCACTGCTACTATTTGTTTCAAAACTTGTTGCCAGTAATTTTGTTCCTTTCTGATTTCAGAGTCCAGCTGATTTTTTACACTATAATTATTTTTACGCTCTAAATACTTCATCAAAGCTTCTTTATGTTCGGGTGAATTCTCATGACTTTTTAACGATGAAAACGAATTCTTCCAGTCTCTAAATCCATACGTTGCTAGGGCGAACGGAGAACTCTAAACAGCTTGCACGCAAAGCAAAACACACTACCTAGCCATGGTGAGTATATTAACCATTCTCGTTTAAATTCTTCACCATTGGCTTTTTTACTAGTGAAAAGGTTTTTTGAAGCCAAAAATGTGTCATTTATATTCTGACAGATTTCAGGCTCCTTTTGAATCCAGAATTCAACATCCTCCTTAGACAAATCAGCCTATATTCCGGCATCACTCTGTCTATTAATTTGAGCACTCAGATCATTTAAAGTTATTGCACTTATTGGAGATGATTCATAACAAGCTAGAGTTGATGTTTCAGTGATTGCTGACAAATTATTTGTTTCCAATCCAGTAGCATTTTCATTTACTTTAATGAAAAACTGATCAAGCTTTGGTAATTTTTTGACTTACTTATCTTTTTCGGCTTTTTTCTTACGTTTTTGAGCTCCGCTTTTATATGTTCTCTTCATTTTTTAATTTTTCTAAAATAAAGGAAAAAGTCAAATATTTTTATATTTCTTTTCTGAAATGAATGAAATAATGCACTAATTAAATTCTTACATTAATTTATTGAATTGTACTTAAAAAATACTTTTTAATCTTAGTTTTTAGTTTATTCTGTAAAAATAGAATTCAAATTTCAACTTATTAAGTTGAAATTTGATTTCTATTTGAAAATTTGATTATACCCTACATTTTAATTTCACAAATTATGAATAAACAAGGAAGGGGTGTATGATTTCACTAAAAAATTACTAAAGTAATTTTTAAGAGATGGCGCCCAAGATTTTGGGAACCCTCGAAATCTTGCGGCCCTAGGCAGTGTCTAGTCTACCTATAGGTAATTCCGGGCCTATATATATATATATATATATATATATATATATATATATATATATATATATATATATATATATATATATATATATATATATATATATATATATATATATATATATATATATATATATATATATATATATATATATATACATATAAATATATATATATATATATATATATATATATATATATATATATATATAAAGAAAATAGAATATAATAAAAATTTAATTCCAAATAATATTGAATACAACGTTTTGCC